AAAGAATCACTGGAAGAGTCTGCTGCCACTGTGAGTTGTCCATCTTTTGTTGTATGGTGGTGGTGGAGGCAGTGGAGGTCAAGACTTTCCTCAGAGCCTCAATGTGACCATTCTGACGAGCCCGAGGAGAGCTTTTATAGGTTTCATCCTTTCCTCTTTTCTCTTTTCCTGAGCTCTTCTTTAGATTTCTCTCTGTCCCTGCGTCACATTTCCACACACTTTATGTCTTCAGGTGATTTTGCATTTCAATAAAATCTTTCATATTTTTCTTGGCTTTTATCTCCTGTATTCTATTATGTTTTTTCCCTTCCAACTACATTAGAGAAACTTTATTTCAGACACTGTAGTCCATTTGAATATAAAAGAACAGAAAATTAATAAAAGACGACATGAGGACAAAACGCACTGAATTAACCGACATGTAAATTTCTGTATAAGATTTGTAAGCAACCCATGAAAGAGAACATTCGTATCACATTTAGGTTACACTTGTCAAATGTGACCTCTGAGCACAACAACCAAGATCCTGAATGCATCATTATATGCCACCCATCAACTTTCATATCATTTATTTGCACTGTATGAGTATGTGCTCTAAAAACATCATCCATCATATGGAATTTACAGACTAATGCATTTGCTGCTGCATACAGTTTACCACAAGGGTGCATCATCATCATCATCATCATCATCATCATCATCATCATCATCATCATCATCATCATCATCATCATCATCATCATCACGGAGATCATCCCTGATGATGTGACCCAAATATCTAACTTTAGTCACCTCACTGAATATTTGCCTCCAGTCCACCTTAGCTGAAGCGATCATTACTACATTATTTTTAAGGGTTGAATTCAAAATTAAACTGCAGCTGCTGCAAGCCGTCAAGATCAGCAAACATCAAATGATTAAAAAGGCTCTCTTCCATCACGACCCAGTATCCTGCTTGTTTGGTGTTTTAGAAAGATCATCCCTAAATAAGCTGAACTGAACAGCTGACAGACAATATCCCACCTCGATGAACCCCAGAGTTTTCTAACCCCATCAGATTTGCTTAGTTTGATGTAAGTAGCATCCTTGTAACTGGTACTAATTTACCATGAATAATACAACAAAATGCTTTTAATTGAATCAATAGTGCTGTCTTAGCTGCTGTGTATTAGAAGAACTTCTTTCAGAGCCTGTATGCACACATCAGTGCTGTGTTTATTTCTGAAACCAAGCTGAATATTAGTGGTTTTATATTCTCAAAGCCTTGACAGCATGCTAGTCAGAGCAACTGGCCTGTAGTTTTCTGGGCTGGATTTTACTTAACCAGTTTTGTCTGTGAAAATGTTCTATTTGGTACCAACAGAACAGTTAACATGTAGTCTGGTAGGACGCCACGCATTAACAATACAATGTGAGTAATGCTGAGATTCTTCTGCACAGATCAGGGCTCCATGCTTTGTTCCCTGCCAAGTTCTCAACAGCACAGCACACTTCATCCCGCCTAACAACACACTCATTGTTAGAAACCTCACCAACATTAAACTTATCGCTTTTAACACAGTTAGGAAATTCCCTACAAAGCTTTTCTCCACATTTCAACAACATTTTCAGCCCCAGAAATCCCATCAGGACTGGCTGCCAGAGGCCTCTTACTATTGTTAACAGCCTCTTTCCAAAATTCATACAAATTATTCTGCAGCAGCTTTTTGTGCATGGAGTTTGCCCTCATGGCATGCTCATTTCTTTTAATAAAGCACGCTGCACATTTAAATCTTGCATTCGCACATTTCTTGTGTTCATACTCTGGTCCGTATCGAGCTTTACCTGATAAAAGCCACTTTTTAAAAGCTTCTTCAGACTATATAGAGTTCAGATCCAGGGATATGATTATATGGTTTTAGTCCTTTTTTGAAAGAATGGTTCAGCACCATCATTAAAGCCTAAATCAGTATTGTGACTTTGATTCTCCCATTTAATGTTTTTGGCATCAAATGGCACATCAATGGTGCCTTTATCGGTCTGTAAACTTTACTTTCATTTACCTTTTTCCCCCTTTTTTTGTAACTTGTCAGTATAGACAGACTCACAACACTAAATGTCGTAGCCAAAGGTATGTGGCCTGCTGTGGCCAGGTCATTTAAGAGCCTATTAGATATGTCCTGCTGAATGTTTCTCCTTGTGGAAACCTAAAATGCTTTAACCGAACATGTATAGCACTGCTCCATCTCCATATTATTCCTGCACATGAAACCACATTTGAAGCCATGTAATCCACTTTTCTTTACCATACTTACAGTATTTCCCCTGCTCACAAATTCCTAGTCTGGTCTTCATCTCTACTACAGTGTTTTCAACACAAATCTAGACTCTCAACCAAAAGAAACAGTCACAACACAATTATTTTCAGATATCTCACCTCTGAGAACAACACAGTCCATTCCTGGAGATCCTTGTGGAGCTGGTCTGGGGTTAAAAAAAAAAGGTAAGATCTCTTCATCTCTTAACTTTCCAAGGCAGAGGCTCACAAAGCTTTTCCAGAATAACCAGTCACTGCCCATCTCAGACTCCAGATGGGATCCCAGTTCTGTCATCACATTTGTTGTGGAAATTTGAAATAAATCTCAGTGCACACAGCCAGGTTGCCTTTGTTACAGAATATAAGTAGTTTTACTGCTTTATTGCATCTTTTATTGGTTTAGCTTTATAGTATGCTTTTATGCGTGTTTGTATATATTTTGCATGCTTTTATTTTGAAGTACTTTTCCTATCTACACCTTAGTCAAAGATTCTCGACACCTGCTCACACTGCATAAAAGATTGTGTCACAGAGCATGTACAGCAGTGGCACATGCAGAGCTTCAGCAGAGAGAGCCCTGCTGAAGAAGACTGGTGGAGGATTTGCACGCAGAAAGACATTTCTAAGAGAGATACAACCAATGAAAAGAGTCATTTCTGTGGCAGTTGGTGCTAGAACATCTATTTTAAATGGTAAATTGTAAATGGCCTGTATTTGTATAGCGCTTTACTTAGTCCCTATGGACCCTAAAGCGCTTTACACTACATTCAGTCATCCACCCATTCACATACACATTCACACACTGGTGATGGCAAGCTACAGTGTAACCACAGCTGCCCTGGGGCGCACTGACAGAGGTGATTTTAAGACTTTTGCACAGTCAGCTTTATGAGTTTTCTTTACATTTGTAAAAGGCTCAAACAACAGTACACACAGCCTGACAGCACTCTGTGCACACCTCTGTAAAGTCATAATATAGAGAAAACCTTTCAATCTGTCATGGTCAGATAGCACACTCAGAATATTGTGTGCAAACGCTACCTCGTACATCAGCGTGATATATCTGAAAGATTATTGAGTTTCACTCAGGGAGGTCAGTTTGACACAGAGAACAAGCAGAATCATAAAAATCTCCATCACAATAGTGATGATGAAAAGTTACCTGGAAAATAAGGGGGAACAGAAAACTTTGAAAGATGTGACCTTCACTAGCTGGTCAAATTAACAGCTCTCCTCCTACACTGAGGAGACCATAAAGCTGCTGAGTCATCAGTAACACGTGAATATGTAACTGATGATTTCAGCAGCATGAAATATAAGGCCTGGTTCAGAGCCAGATAGAGGCACTGCATAGGTCTTAAAAGCGGGACATATTGGATGATATATGGTGACATTTTGTCATAAGTATACGTGTTATCTCCCTATTTAAGAAGCCGAAATGAAGCCAATATGACAATCCAGAAGCTGGACTTTGACCAACTTTGATGTATCTCCAGAAGAAAATAACTGTTTAAATATTTAACCGTGTTTTGTTTGCAGCTTGACAAGAAAACACCATCCAAAGAAAAAGAGAGGAATGTTGTACAGATTGTATCAGGAAGCAGTCTTTTGATAAATAATGTAAACAGTGACCAAGTGACAAGAAGCTGTTGAGACGTAGGTGTATGAGTTATTGGCATACATCGCCGCCTCCTGAAAAACATCACACATGAACATAAGCAATATACAGAGCATGTTATGTTCAATAAAGATCATTTATGCTGAGTACAAAATGGCGAAATATTGTGTAGCTGAGCTACATAATTCATTTTCCTTTTACAAGTGCTGTCCAACCTAACGTTTTTAATAGCTTCATATTGAATTCCACAGCACATCCAATAGAAGTCAATTGTTAACCAGTATGATTAGAAAAAATCCACTTGATGGCATATGTGAAATCTCTTTATGTTGATGTTAAGTCGTGAGTTATACTGATCTTTAAGGCATCTTGATATCATTCTGTTACCAAATGCGCAGCGTAACCTCAATTTTACGCACTCCTTTGGTGTCAGCCTTCACTGAAAGGCTGATTCCTTCATATCAATCATATTCTTGGATTCCTACTTAGAAAGTATGTGTATGTAAACATGTAAATAGCCCTCCCAGCCTCTGAGTGAGGAATATGTTGATTTTAAGTGCCTTTAACACATAATGGTAAGTGTTCTGTCAGATCACACTATACCCCCCATTCTTTAAGCCTGTGACGCACGCGTGAGCAGGGAGGTATCGTTTATAAAAGCAGCCAACAAAGGCATGATTATTGGGACTGAAATAGTAGACTGAAGACCACCAATATGTCGCTGGAGGAGTCGTTCTTGTTAACCCCAGAGGACAGCACACTTCTGCTCCTGAATGTTTCCAGGGTATTTTGGGAGTCCGCAGGAGAGCAGCAGCACCACTTCAGCATCTGGCTCCCTGGTATCGGCATCGCTGCTATCTACGGGATCATCATCATCGTGGGGCTGATTGGAAATGTCACTTTAATGAAGACGTGTCTGTTGGTGAGGTCCATGCGGACGGTGCCCAACTTATTCCTATCCAGTCTGGCTCTGGGGGACCTGCTGCTACTGGTGACCTGCGCGCCGGTGGACGCCAGCCGGTACTTGGTGGACGAGTGGCTCTTCGGCCGCGTCGGATGCAAACTGATCCCTTTCATCCAGCTCACCTCTGTGGGAGTCTCCGTGTTCACTCTCACTGCTCTCTCCGCTGACCGGTATTTGTCACACAGCCAGTCTGAGCTACTATAACTCTTTGTGCTGTTGTGTTAACGGCAGGATAATATGCTTACAAATGATGGAGGGAAATGCGCTTTTACGCATGGCTCCAGCATTGTAGACACAAGATGTAGAAAGTCTAATTTTAAAACAGTCAAATTGCATCCAAAAAAATATTTTGATTATTTGACGGTTTGTGTAGTTCAGTTAACTCCTCTTTGTAAATAGCTCTTAGAATCAGTGCCAGGCAGATGGTTTTTTTTCTCTCGATTTATGTTTTAAAATGCTGCAGGAATTTTATAAATAACAATTTGTTTAATAAATGAATACAGTATATGGTTTAACATATTTGAAAAAACAAATCTATATTTAGAAAGCAACCTGAGCTAATCTCTATTAATCTCATGCTCAGTGTTCATATTTTCCCACATGCAACAACAAGCATGCACCACTGCAGTGTCTCTGAATCCTCTGGGTTAAATGAAGAATCGGTTCTGTTGGTTTAAATGAGATTTTAGAGGAACCCGATAAACATCAGGCTCTTGTTGGAATACTAAGTGCGCTATTATTTGTATAGATTGATTAAATATAAATAAAGCTTCACACTTGGGGGCCCGTACCTCTGCACAGAGTCAGAGGCGAAAAAGAAAAAAAAATGATCTGAGCAGAAAAATGGAAAAATATCTGTCTGTCAGACTCTCCTCAGATCTTTGAGAATTAAACAATGACTTTGTTGCCCCAGAAAATCATGAATTCAGTACAAAGAAAACATTTTCTTGTTGGTTAAACCAATCATTAAAAAATATTCTTTCATTCTCCTGTAGTTGCCAAAAGGGTTTACTTTGTTTGGTTTTTTTGTTTGTTTGTTTTTTGGTTTTTTGTTGTTGTTGTTTTTTGAGATATTGACTTCACACGTGCATAGATGAGTCCACGTCCAAGGATTATTAGTCACTGTGCTGAACTAAGATCAAAAACAGGTTCCGGGTGAAAATTGAAGTGAAGCAAATGTCTGAAAATATGTCGAGGACGCTTTTAGTTTCCAGTGTGTTTAATTATCCTGCAAATTTAATAAAGACACAGGAAGATCGTGACAGTTAATCAAGCTGATTGCAGCGTAGCCATCAAAGTGTTTTTCTGTTTGTTCACTGCTTTGCTGCTATTAAGATATCTTGTAGGAAAACACTGAGCCACAGTTGGAGTATTTAACACCAGCTGTAATTAGCATTCTGACTTCCGCCACAGGAGCTTTTCTCATCTTCTGCTTCCTTTCATTCAAAGCCTGCTTTAATTTTCTCTGCCACAGAGAGATAATTTGGTTTGATTAGAAAAAAATCAACCGTGCCTGCTGTTAAAAATCAGCCATGAGATAATCGTTTCTCTTTTTTTTTGTGTGGTTGTTTTTGATTCCATGCGTAATGAAGAAACCGCACTGAGCTCGTCTTCATTCACAAATGCTGTTTCTTCCTCTAGGTACAAGGCTATCGTCAACCCGCTGGACATCAACAAGTCCAGTGCTGCTCTGAGCATCGGTTTACGCGCAGGGATGATCTGGCTGCTCTCGGTGACTCTGGCTGTGCCCGAAGCCGTCTTCTCCGACCTGCACACCTTCACCACCAGCCACACCAATGAGACGTTTGTGACCTGCGCCCCTTACCCTCACGCGGGGGAGCTCCACCCGAAGATCCACTCCACCGCCTCATTCCTCATCTTCTACATCATGCCCCTCTTCATCATATCTGTCTACTACTGCTTCATCGCTCGCAGTCTGGTCAGAAGCTCCGCGGACATCCCCGCCGAGGGACACCTGCACTTTCAGAAGCAGGTCAGACCCCGAGCTCTTCTTATTCTGCTCTGAAATGCAGAATAGATTCATCTTTTTGCTGTTTTTTATTTTCTTTTTGAGGATCATTCTGTTCTGATCTGAGAAGATTAGACACGGGACTCACAGGGCTTCACACAATTAATTAGCTTACCACTGGGTGCAGGGGTAACAGCTGTATCCAAAGTCTTAATTCACTTTAATTGGCACATTTTATCCAGATTAACATCTTCAGGAGCTGGAGCATTTGTTGCTGGGACCCTACTGATCCCCACTGTCCATTAAAGTTTCATTCCAACTCCAAAAACCCAGAAACTAACCTGCACTGGGAGCCCAAGGATCAGTCAGAGGTCAGTTAGTTGGCTGAAAGGCGATTAGAGGTGGACTAATTTGTCTTTATTTCAAAGCCAACAGAGACAAAGAGAAAGAAACTGTGGACATGATTCACACTAACCATCAGGTCATCTTACTCGTCTATCATAATACTCCAAATTCTCAAATTTGTCAGATACTGAACCACATCTCTGAGTTTGCTGAGCACTGTGAAGATGTTAAACTGGATCTCAGTGAATGAAGGACATTTTTCACTCAATGCACTAAAATCAAACAGTTATTAAAGAAAAAATTAGGATGTGCTGATAATGAAAGTAATTGCTGGCCACTGTCTGAAAACACATTGTTGGGGGTTTTTGTGTGTGTGTGTGTGTGTGTGTGTGTGTGTGTGTGTGTGTGTGTGTGTGTGGGGGGAAAGGGGGGGGGGTTAAGGTTTTTTCTTCCTTTACTCATCTGGTTGCCTGGTAACGTCTTCCACTAAAGGAGTCCCTGAACCCCTGATTAACTGCAAATTATAGTTGAAAATTAAGGTTTAGTGCAAATTTAAAAAAAGAAAAAGAAATTCACTTTTTTATCTGCCAAAGTGAAAACTTCCCTTCAGTTCACAAAAACACAAACACAACCTTGGACTGTAGACTTTTATGTCTAATGAGGCCTTTGTAATGGTGTTACACACTGGGTTAATTGCTTAGTAAAGTCCTGTTTTGAAGCTTCAATTTAAAAGTTCTGGCCTTTGCCATCCTAGTTTTGTGAAACCAAGTGTGACAACTTCACATTCATGATCCATTTAACAAAATACAGCATGAAAAACAGAGACAGAGGCAGGAGTGAACACTTTGTCTTTCACTCTTCTCCTCAGCCGACTGATGGACCAGCAGCAGCACAACCTGGAGTATCTACAGACCAGCTGCACCACATATTTCTGACACTGTGCCCATCTGACAACATACAGTTTCTGCATGTAGACAGGCCACGCACAGACTGCGAATGTGATAGCTTCACTGAACAATAATTTCTCCACAAGTCAAACTGTTAATGCCAAATGATTCTCTACAGCACACCTTGCTTTATTGCTTCTTTTACTCTAAATTAGATCCTCATTTATAAAGTATATATCATGAAAGACTCAAAAACACCTTAAACAAGCGACTGAGGCCAAAACTTTATCAGGAAAGTGTTCACCGAGGTTATAATTTCAGGGCAAAGTTAGGTAATCTCCTCACAGACTTCTATACAGGCAAACTTCTCTTTTAAACCAGAGGAGTCGCCCCCTGCTGGCCATTGCATAGAATCATTTGGCTCTACTTTTCAGACCTAAAGCTGCACCCATCCATCCATTTGATGCAGAACTTACTGTCTCCTCTCTCTCCTCTCCTGTCAGATCAGGTCCAGGAAGCGTCTGGCTAAAACTGTGCTTGTGTTTGTCGGCTTGTTTGCGCTCTGCTGGCTCCCGAGTCATGTGATCTACCTGTACCGCTCCTACCACTACAACCAGGTGGACACGTCGCTGGGCCACTTCATCGCCAGCGTGTGCGCTCGCATCTTGGCCTTCACCAACTCCTGTGTGAACCCATTTGCTCTGTACCTGATGAGCAAACGCTTCAGGAAACACTTCAAAAAGCAGCTTCTGTGCTGCTCCGCTCCCACAGAGCTGCGCAGCCAGAGCAGCAGGAGCACAAATGTAACGACCGTCTGAACCAATCGGTGTTCATGAACTTCACGCCCATGCTTTGGCAGGATTTGAGCCACTTTTAAGTTCAGTAACATGATAGAAAATTATTATATCATAATAGTACCTGAATTAAATGAATTAAAGATCCTCTGAGGTCTAAGTTGTCGTGATGACCCCAAACCAAAGTCTGAACAGTCAGAATATGTAATTCTGGTTCTTCATACATTGTTCTCCCAATTCTAGACAATCAGAAAACAAAGAACACATTTAAAACTTTTCAAGTTTCAAAACTTTGAAAACTTTTGTTTTGGCCTTACATGTGGTCAGGGTTACCAAAATGTAACTGTATAAATCATATCTGTTAAAATACAAGCAGATGTTATGGATAAACTAAAACCACTGCTTAGTGTTGCAGGCTGTGTCTGCCATATGTTACTGTATGAGGAAATGTATGATGAGTTGATCTCAGCGCTGCACAAAAATAGAAAGGCAAAAAAAAAAAACATACACTCACGAGCAACTTTCTTATGTACACCATACTAGTACTGAGTTAAACCGAGTTTGATGGAAAAAGATACTAGTAAGAATTTTCAGAGATTTCTCTTCACAATGATACAACAACATCACAGAGTTGCTGCAGATCAGCTGCACATCCATGATGTTCTAACACATCCCAAAGCTGCTGGATTAAGATCTGGTGACTGTGGAGGCCATGTGAGTACCGTGATCTCATTGTCATGTTCAAGAAAACACCTGAGATGATCTGAGCTTTGTGACATGGCGTGCTATCCTGCTGCAAGCAGCCATCAGTGATAGATACATGGTGTCATAATAGGATGGACATGTTAAGCAACAATACTCAGGTAGGCTTGGGTGTTTGAATGATGCTCTGGTGGTTTTAAGGGAAAAATCGCCCACGCCATTAAACCACCAGCAGCCTGAACAATTGATACAACACAGGATGTATTCTTATGCTCATGTTTATGCCAATTTCTGATCCTACTAGTCAAAGGGTCCAGCAGAAATTAGAACCCATTGAACCAGCCTCAGTTTCCTGTCCTTAGCTGACAGGAGTGGCACCTAGTGTGGTCTTCTGCTGCTGTAGCCCATCCAGAGATGCTCTTCTGCAGACCTGGGCTGTAATGAGTTATTTGAATTAATAATGCATTCCTATTAACTTAAATGAGCCTGACTATTCTCCTTTGACCCCTGAAATCAACAAGACATTTTCACCCAGAGAACTGCAGCTCGTTGGATATATTTTCTTTTTCAGACCATTCTCTGTAAACCCTTAAGAGAGTTTAATGGGAATAAATCCAAGGAGATCAGCATTTTTTGAAACAAACAATATCACGTTCAAAGTCACTTAAATCACATCTCTTCCACATTGTGATGCTCGGTTTGAACTTAAGGAGGTCGCCTTGATCATATCTACATCCCTAAATGCATCGAGTCACTTCCATGTGATTGGCTAATTAGATATTTGTGAACCCTTAATAAGGTGGTCAATGAGTGCATTTGAATATGAACATCTGTCAACCTATAATATAAAAAAGTTATATGAAGTCTTCTTTAAAAACATGATGCAGATGTTTATCTCAAATCTTTGCAGATGTAAAACCACAAACCATGCGAAATAAAACTGGGCGTTGTTGTATATTGTATAGTTTTCTGTTGCATTAAATGACATGTTCCACTCCCACTTGCGTTGTGAACCATGCATGAAAGGGCTCAATATTTATTTTGTTGTTTGTTTATATCTACAGTATGCCATTTTTAAGGAAAAATGTCAGCGGAGGAGCGATCGCCTGTGACATTTGAAAGTTCATAAGCTGTAAAAATCTTCAAGCTGAACGCAGTAACTTGTGCGCTTCAGTGTACTGCAGAGAAACATTAAGCCACATTTATTGGCTGTTTTTTTTAATCCCATTATTAAAACTGTGAGATATCACACATTGTGTGTGCAGTAATGTGAGGTAGTGAAGTGTTGATTGCTTGTGTACAGCTGTGCAGTGTATCAGTTACATTCAGCAGATATTTGTTGCTTCAGAGTAACGTGTTTGAAGATGAACCCAACAGCCTTCTTTTTCTTTTGATGTAATGCTGCAGCCATTTAAAGCAACCAGAAGTCGTTGTTTCATTTCTTTTATTTGGACGAATATTCAATTAAATTTTTATTTTGTGACTAATTTTTAGTCACGAAATATAACCTCAACTGCTCTGTGTCGTCCTTTGTCGGAGTAAGAATGTCAATCCCAACAAAAATTAATGTACAGTGGTAAAAATGTGAAGAATAAACAAACATAAAATGGCCTTATTAGTCCAGCATCAACTTAGAAATAACGGATGCCTTGTTTCTCAACATTTTGCTGTATTAATATCTCCAGTTCTCCTTTTTAAGCAACCTTTTCTTTGCATTTCATCAAACCTAAATAAATATAAAACCTGGGGATGAGTTCGTCTGTATCGCAGTACAAAGTCTTTCCCTGAGCTGCTTGTGTGACCTTTTCCTAACGAGCGACTCGACCGAACGGAGCTCAGAACTGAGACATAAAATCATCTTGTTGGTAATAATTTTATTTAATTGCCCGATTGAGGTTTTTTGTAATCTCTGAATGAATCAGCAATGAATTAAGGCCTAATTTTATATCAGGAGTTTGATGGTAAGTGCTGAGTTTCAAACTGAGCAGCAGGAGACTCATTATAATGCACACCTTTACAAATGAGCGGTACATGCTATATACAGCCCTTACAAAGCCTTTTCTGAAGGCTGAGGTTTCTCTTTGCCGTCTCGGTGAAGACACGTCAAGTTAAATCTGTTCCAACAAGTTCTTTCAGGTCTTTGCAGAGGTGACCTTTCAGAGTGACATTTGAAGTCAGAAAATTAATTCCCCCTGAGCAACATCAGCCACAAAACACACTCTAACCCTCAGTTATTTGGATCCTTTACTGCAGCTGCTGTTTTCCTTCAGTATATTGTGTTTTTATTTTTCTGCCCCTCATTATTAAACTCTTATTTTGAGCCACAGCACGTGCAAGTACACAAATGTATCATTCACACGCAGCTCAGTCGTAATCAAGCATAAAACAGTTTGTCTCCAGAAGCTTTGTTCTCTTCAGGATGGTGTCTGAGGTGCGTCTTGTGACATAAATACACTCACCGCCCACTTTATTTTTCAACTGCTCTTTAACAGAAATATCTAATGAGCCAGTCACATTGCAGCAAATCAGTACATTTATCCATGTAGGAATGGTCAAGATGCTGTGTTGAATTTCCAGCTGAGAGAATTGAATGAAAAGGATAAAATATCCACGGAGCAGCAGTTCTCTTGGGGAAAATGTCTCGGTGATTTCAGAGGTGAATAATCAGACTGTTTCAAGCTGATAGGAAGGCAACAGTGACTCAGAGAAGACAAAGAAATGCAGAACATCCTTGAATCCACAGTGAAACGTAGCAGACGAGCAGCAGGAGAACACATCAAGCTAGAATTGACTCAAGATCATCAAAACTGGACAACAGAAGATTTAAAAAATGTTTCCTGGTCTGATGGGAATTCTGCTGCAACATTCAGATGATGTATCATTGATTAAGGCTGCTGGGGATTATTGGTGCGCGGATATTTTCTTGGGCCTGTTGGTACCAACATCATGCAGCATATCTGAGTATTGTTGTCCAAGATAAGGACAATGCCAGACAATACCTCCCAGCCACTCCATGAGGTCCAGTCACAGGAGCACAGTCAGTGAAAGACTTGGATTACCCTAAATGCACCACTGACCGACACAGGAAATCATTTCTGCCTGTGGCTAACTTGCAGTACAATTCCTCCATCTAAAGCACACAAATACACACCGCAGCACATCCTCTACAGAAGAAATAAAGCCAACATGATATGATGCACCTCAACTTCAACTATTTAATTAGGTGTAATATACTGGAAAATGTATAACTACAGTGTTTTGTGTTTATTCGGGCTATTTTGTTATATTTTGTAACCTTGCAATATATTGTATTATTTGATTTAGTTCAGTTAGTTAGTTCTAATGCTCCATATCACAAAGCTCAGATCATCTCTAGTTTTTTGAACATGACGACAGGTTCACTGTGACCAAACAGTTTCTACAGTCACCAGATCGCAATCCAGCAGAGCACCTATGGGATGTGGCGTAACGCAAGACTTATGTCATGGATGCGCAGTCGACGAATCAGCAGCAGCTGTGTGATGTTGTCATATCAACACTGACCAAACTGTATGAGGAATGTTTCAGGCGCCTTTTTGAATCAGCATCACAAAGAATTAAAGCAGTTATAAAGCATCCTGTGAGGTGCTCAGAAACCCTCAGTCTTACTCTGTGTGATGTCAGAGAGACGATGTGTGATGGCCACCTCGGCCCGTGTACTAACGGCACTACGAAAGATTCCACAAATAAAAACACAGAAATGTGAACAAAACAGGCCACATTTAAAGTTTACAAAACCATTAGAAACATTTATGAGAAAAAGAATTTTAACATAAGATTTGGGTTTGTTTTTTGTTTTTTTTTCAAAACTTGCCACCTGCATTACCCAGAATGCAACTCTCTAACATTAGTGGTGTGAATTCTCCTGTGTTGTACTCATAGGCACACAGTCTGTGGTTGCTACAAAGCTACAAAAAGGTCTGATCTGCAGTTTTCACCCCCAGCTGATGCTTATTCAAATGACATCCACAAAGCTTCCTGTGGAGCTAGTTTTTATACAACTTATTTTTAATATATGCACAAGTACTCCCAAACATAAAAGACTTTGATGTGTAAAATTGGCGATGTTCAACTTTAAAAACATTTTGGAATCATGTAAAATTCATGAGCGCTTAAAAGAAAGTACAAAAATACAAAAACCTGATACATTAAAGTCCCTGCAGGATGAACAGAGCTTATCCTGAAGCGTCCCTCCCTTGTATCCAAAAGATTTCATTGAGCAGTTCTCAGAAAGCTGTTATTATAATACTAAAAGCATCTGAATTATGAAGCTATGGATGAAAACTCTGAATGTGGACGCCTTTTATCCTTTCTTCTTGAATGGCGAAGCAAAAAAAAAAAAAAAAAAAAAAAAAAAAAAGCAAAGGACGGCAGAGATGTGTCATTGGTAGAGGAGGAAGTCCTTGATACTGTGAGGGACAAAGAGGCTCGAGGCCCTGTGCAGACGACTCTTTCCGAGACTTCGACGAATACGTAAGCGACAGAGCTGAGACAGAGAGCAGGGACCTGGGAACAGGAGGCAGATCACAGCTGCTAATAAAAGGAAGTGAGGGTCCTCTATGTAAGTGCAAAAAGGTCAAAGGTCAAGGTCAAAGTTATTTATATAGGACATTTCCAGACAGACAATGCTCAAAGTGCTTAACAATATAAAAATACCATTAAAAAGAAACAATGTAAAACAATAATAACAATATGAAACAATGACAGGACAATAACACACCTCTGCTCAGCAGTGCAGCTCTCACTGAGCTGTTTGGCTTCGACAGATCAAGAGGAGTCTTCGCCTCAGCGTTCCTGCGACACCCATCAGCTCCAAAGTCCAGGAGAAGATGCACAACGTCAGCTCCTCCCCCCAAAACTGCAGCATGCAGAGGACTGTCCGGCCCGCATCCGATCTGAACATCTGCTCCTGCTCAAACATGCAAACGGAGTTCAACACCTAGCAGCACGCAAATCACACAATTCTGATTAAAACCCATCCGTGCGTTGTAAGTGATTTATTGTTAAAGCAGCACGTTGTTATATATTAGCTACTAATAAAAAAGTTTTCAAAAATAAATCCAAAGCACAGCTCTGAATAGTTTTGAGACTGGCTGTTACGTCTGACAGGTTGGATTGATTAGAAAAGCTTTTAAACGTGTGCTGATGTGAACTGTGACACCGAGTTTCTGCTTCGATGGAAAGCGAAAGAGAGAAACTGCAGAGCGTGCCACTAAAAGTAACTCAGAGCCCAGCAGGAACAAAAAATGTCAGCTGTATTTAAATATTATATGGCTGGAACGAACGGTTCTGTCCTCTGTTGGTTCAC